ACTATCACAGGATAGTTGAGAATTTACTCTTAAGAAATGGCTAAGTCTTGATAATGATAGCTAAGTGATGCTTTCTAGATGCTCTTAAATTCATACCAAGTGTAAGAATATATAACATGAACAGAGTACAGATAGTCCTTGAGATACGGACAGAATGAAGCCTGCCCATTATGGTCACATGTCGCAGCAGTTGTTAGGTAAAATGTGTCACCCAATGACACCCCCATCCCTGCTCTTCCCAATGAAATGTTAAATGAATGTGCAGAGCATGGAGTGCCTTCTGGGTGGGGGAGGCCGTTGAAGGCCTAGTACAGGCCTAGGTCTGCAGGTTCTGGGTCCTCCCAAGACATCCCATGCACCACTTCATGCACCTTCAATCAATCAATCAGAATAGAACTGGAAGGGACCTTGCAGGTCTTCTAGTCCAACCCCCTGCTCAAGCAGGAGACCCTGTACCTTTTCAGTTAGGTGGCTGTCCAATCTTTTTTTTTTAAAAAGCTTCAATGATGAAGCACCTAGAACTCCTGAAGGCAAGCTGTTCCATTGGTTAATTGTCCTCACTGTTAGGAAGTTTCTCCTTAATTCAGGTTGCTTCTCTCTGTGATTAGTTTCCATCCATTGTTTCTTGTCTTGCCTTCTGGTGCTTTGGAAAATATATTGACTCCCTCTTGTGGCAGCCCTTCAAATACTGGAATACTGCTATCATGTTACCTCTAGTCCTTCTTTTCTCTAGACTGGCCATCCCCAAATCCTGCAAAGTTTTTGTTTCTAGGCCCTTAATCATCTTAATTGCTCTTCTTTGTACTTTTTCTAAAGTTTCAACATCTTTTTTTTGTAATGTGATAACAAAAACCGGATGCAGTATTCCAGGTTGGTTTTACTAAGGATTTATAAAATGGTACTAATACTTCATGTGATTTCTATGCCTCAGTTTATACAATTAAGAGTTGTATTAGCTTTTTTGACTGCTGCTGCGCACCGCTGGCTCGTGTTAGGTGATCGTTCACTAGGATTCCAAGGTCCCTCTCACAGTTACTCCCAAAGGTGCTTTTTCAAGAGACAACTGGATTTTCTGATTTTTCTTTCAAGACATTTTGCTTGTCACCCAAGAAGCTTTTCCAGAGCTGAAGAAGCTTCTTGGAGGAGAAGCGAAACATTTTAAAAGAAAAACCAGAAAGTCCAGTTGCCTCTTTAAAAAGCACCTTTGGATGACTGAGAATCTCCATAGACATCTCACAGTTACTGTTTTTGAATGAGGTTTCTCCTCATCTGTATTTGTACCCTTGGTTTTTCCTGCCTAGGTATAAAATCTTGCTTTTCTCCACATTAAATTCATGTTGTTGGATAGGGCCTATTGTTCAAGTCTATCAAGATCTTTTTGGATCCTGAGCTTGTCGTCTGGGATGTTGGCAATTCCTGCCAGCTTAGTGTTGTCTGCAAATTTGATGAGTTCCCCTTCTATTCTCTCATCTATGTCATTTATTAAGATATTGAAGAGTACTAGGCCTAAGTACTCTTGTGGTACCCCACTGCTTATGTACATGTAGATGCCTTTAGTCCCAACAGGCCTTTTTCCCAGAGTGAGTTTGCAGGATGGTCCAGAGATGGTATTATCACAGCCAATTGGCCTTGAGACTGGGTTGAAACTGAAGCCACGCC